AAAGGAGAAAAAAAAAATAAGAAGAAAATCTTGAGGCTTGTCCAAACCTACTCATGTTTATACTGGAGCCTGTGAGTGACATCAGAGCAGGGAGAGTATAAACACCAGCAGGACCTACTCTGGGCTTTCAAACCTGCGAACACACCACAGCCTCCAAACTGCCTGGGGGGTGATGTGCTGAAGCGGCAGAGGKGAGAGCGCCATGAGGCTCCAGCTGGAGAAGCAGCTCCTCTTCCTCTCCCTCCTCTGCATTCTCTCCAAGGTAAGGGAGATGGGGCACTGGGGCACCTTTAGCCGTGGAGCAGCCGTTTGTGGCACATGAGGTGCGGGGAGGACGGGGGTGTCACCACGAGCCCGGTGACAGCGAGCCAGGCTGCGCTGATGCAGSGGGCAGAGCTGTGCTTGCGAGAGGTGTTTGAGATGGAGCAGCAGGGTCTGAGCGTTCCTGGGCCCAGGGCTCCGCTGTGTGAGTCCCAGGAGCACGCAGGAATGCCAGCAATGTGCTGTTTGCTCGCTGTTCCTGCAGCTCTCCGGGCTGGGCTATGCGAGCGGCAGCCGGGCGGTAGCGGCTGCTCCGGGCTCCTGCAGGCTCCTCCATCCTCGCCCAGGCTCCCGAGGCAGGGGCCAAGCCACGAGCACCAGCCCTGGCATTACTCAGCTCTCCCCATTTCTCAGAATGCTCACGCCAAGCCTGTGCCTCGATGGGATTTGAGTTGTTGTAGCGATTTTATAATTTTTTTTTCTCTTGGACTCTGTGTGAAAATATTTGCCTGTGCAGAGAACAGGAATGTTGAACAGTTTGGGGCATGTCAGCTCCAAGTTCTAATTGCTGCTCRAATCCCTGAGCAGGGATGCTGTGACCACGTCGTGCCTGTTTGACTCTTTTCCCAGAAAGTTCAGWTCTCTGACAGGAGCCACATTGTCATCTAAACACAAGTCAATTACAAGGAGCAGGGRAAAATGGATTTATGGCTTGGCTAATCTTTCTTAAAACATCGATTTGCAATAGCAGCCTCCTGAATGATGAAAAATGTCCTTGGCTGCCTGGGTAAGGTGTAACAGAGCAATGATTCCTGCCGCAGGTGCTCACAAGTGCCTGGAGAATCACCAAGGGCTGTCGTGCTGCCAGCCCAAACCTGGCCACCACAGCCAGTCCCTCAGTCCCTGCCACGAGTCTCYCTCTGGTTTCTGCCACATTAATAAYGCTGCTCACTGACAGAACTAGAGCAAGCCCCAGATCACCCAGTCCATTCTGGATATATTTTAACTCCAATTACTGGCACTGACACTTCTACAGCCCCATAAAAAAAAATCTGAACTGCTGCAAATGGGGAACAGATAGTGCGCCAGTAGCTACCTTCTCTGTCTGACTCATCATGTCAGACCTGATGCCCCTGGGAGAGACTGAAAGGAAAGAAAAACGGTGTCTAAACCCCACACGGTCTGGCTGAACCCATCATTCTCTTGGCAGACTCAGCAGGCACAGCAGTACCTGTACCAGGGCGGGGATGAATGCTCTGGTTGCATGTTTGCTGTGCTTCATGTGTGGTCCTGAGCAGCGGGGCTGCCGGGGGCTCACATGCACTGTCAGGCCAGCACTGGCAAAGAATTCACTCCCAAACTGCAGAGCCAGCTCTCGTGGCCTCAGGCTCTGAATGCTYTGTCAGTGTGCTCGAGCTGTTGGTGCCAGGGTGGTTTTATTGTGCAGGCAGGATGAGCCAGGGGTGTGAATATTCACCTGCCCGGGTGAGCTCCTGTGGGCACATCCCCGAGCACACAAAGGACTGCAGTGCACAGCCCTGCCAAAGGGATTACTCAGTCCAGCCAGGAGGGAAAACAGCTGCCAGACCTTGACACCGTGCCTGTCTCTGGCTCCTCGCCCAGTGGGCCAGGCCAGGTGAGGATGCTGCAGCCAGGGACAAGCAGAGGATGCAGCTGGACCAGGGAGGAATGCAATGAGGTGTGCCTGCCTTCAGATCCCCACTGMTGGTGCAATGTCGTGTTTCTTGGCACCATGTGAGTGCAGTCCCTGCAGAGCCACCCCTCCAGCAGGGCACAACCTGCTGCCTTGGGTGTGGGCATGGGGCTGGGCTGCTTTTCCTCCCTCCCTCCCCCTGGGCTGCCTGGGGCTGYTGACCTCATTAAATATCCACAACTTCATGGGATCTTCACCTCCATCCTCCTGAGTGCTCAGAGCAGTGGCACACTTACATCCCCATTTTGCAGAGTGCTGAGCAGCCCTGATTCTCYGTGGGTTTCCACAGGTGCCCTTCAAAGGGCACAGCAGCTTTCCAGGCTGCTTGGACATATTCCCATGGATTTGCAGAGCCTCCTCCCTCCACCAAAAATCTGCCCCCATGATCCAGACAAGGTTACCAGCAACTGTTAGCCAAAAACCACCTGTATGGATTCAGCTTTGCCTCTCCAGGTTTGTGCCCAGCTGTGCCGGAGACCATGCTACTGCCCCTGGGTGCCACCCCGCTGTCCCCGCGGGTCCCCCCTGGTCCTGGATGGGTGTGGYTGCTGCAAGATCTGTGCCCGGCGCCTGGGAGAGCCCTGTGACTTCCTGCACGTCTGTGACCAGAGCCAGGGGCTCGTCTGTGACTACAGCTCAGCATCTGCAGGGACAGGAGGCACCTGCAACTGTGAGCACAGGGATGCCCATTTTCCCCGGGGATACCCCCACACCTCAGCCCAGCTCCAGCCACCGCCTCGGGCATCCTGCAGCGCTACCGGGGAAGTGGTTAAGGCTGGGAAATCAGCTTTCCTGAGGATGATACATGGGGCTGTGCCCCAGCTCCTGCCAGCTCTCGTGCTGCTTTCTGACTGAGGTTTGAGTGAGGATGAGCAGGATGCTGCAGTCACCCATTYCAGGGCTGRAGYCTGGGGGTCTTGCAGAGAAATCTCKGAGAAACCTTTTSTAGCTGGAAGYCCTGAAGGCAGGGTCAGAGCCAAAGGGCAGGGGGGAAAAACAGAGATGAGGAGAGAAGGCAGGAAAGGGGAGGAGGTTGGGTGATGAACGCGCTGCTGCACACCMACATCTGCCCTGCACACCTGTCACTTGTGTGCCCCCCACTTCAGTCCCTTTGTGTCAGCCCCACAGTCACCCCCAGCAGTTTCCTCTACCACCCTGATCTCTCTGTCAYTCTGTCCCGTCTGTCCCTTGCAGTTGAAGATGACGAGGAGGGCTGCGAGGTGAACGGCCGGCTCTATCGAGACGGGGAAGTTTTCCAGCCCAGCTGCAAAATGCRGTGCCAGTGCTTGGACGGGGGCTTCAACTGCATCCCGCTGTGCCAGGAGGATGTCCGGCTGCCCACGCCCGACTGCCCCTTCCCCCGGCGAGTGGAGATCCCGGGGAAGTGCTGCCCTGAGTGGATCTGCGAAGCGCAGGATCAGCACCTGCTCCGGGATGCCAGGGCAGGTGAGSTGCAGGGAGGGGATGCCCCTCCACCCCAGGCTGTGAAATCACCCGGAGACCCCTCCCGTTTCTCTGCCGTGCAGGTGTCCCCAGCACCACAGGGCACCTYCCTCCAACCATCCTTTCCCCCTCTTCTCTTTCCTCGCAGCCACCAGGGCAGTGTCCCCATTGCTGCCATTCCCCTGCCAGGAGTGGGGCACGGAGTGGAGCGCCTGCTCGGCCACCTGCGGCGTGGGCTTTGCCACCCGTGTCACCAACCAGAACCGCTACTGCCGGCTGGAGACCCAGCGGAGGCTGTGCATGGTCAGAGCCTGCCCGGCGCCGCCGGCCGCCTTCGCTGCGGTGAGTGAGGGCGGGCTGGGACCGCTGCCCCTGGGCAGTGTCTGACCGGCACGGGGAAGTGCCACGGGACCCCCACCTGCCCGTGGGCGCCTCATCACCCCTCCTCAGCCACGAGCTGACCGTGCSTCAGGGACAGATAAATCATCTCCTGAAACTTTCCTTGGAAAACGGCCGATGGCAGAGTTTTGGGGTCTCTGGATGTCTGAATCCAGAAGCGCTGTGGGTCCCACACAGGTGAGCCTGGCCTGCCGCTATGGCCAGAGATGGATTTGCAGCTCCTGCCCGGCTCCCTGGGCACACCCGGGTGGTGGTTTGGCCACCCCTTTATCAGCCTGGCACAGCCCGGTGTGRACACAGTGCACAACTGCCTTGCTGGCACGCAGGTGGCACTCTCTGCCCACTTCTTTTCCCTGCACTGCCACATGCCCCTGTTCCCCGGSTGGGAGCACCACCACCCCTCTCCATCTCCCCATCGATCTCCTCTGTCTTTCCAGAGRGGAAGAGGAGGTCGTTTGTAGCTGTGCCCAGCCCAGATTCACCCCGGAGCCAACGCCTCATCCCGGCAAAGAGTCTGGCACAAACCCACGGCGCTGCGGTTACGGTGAGAATGGAAGATGTTTCCATTGGGAAAACAGGGAAAGAATGATGGACTTTGGCTGCAAAGGAGGCTGGAAACAGAGAACAAGATCCCCGTGTCATCCATCACCTGCCTCCTCTGTGCACCCCGCTCCCCCAGGCAGGGTTACCGGGCAGCATCCCCGAGTTTCTCAGGCTGAATGAGAAGGGAAATGGGGAAATCCTGCTCCAAGCATGAACCTACCTAAGAAACCAGGAACTGGTCCCTTCCTGGATCAGTGGGGCTTCTCCACCACATCATGCAGCTCTGCTCTGCAGGGACTTCAAGAGACACCATCTCCAGCACCTGGAAGCCAAAACCCCTGGAGGGAACCCTCATTCCCTGGCCCCCCAGGGAGGGAGCAGGTACATCAATCTGCACCCCACAAGACACTGCCAAACCAGGCTGAGCTCTCGATCCTGCAGGAGTTCAGCCATCCCTGGTACCCACCCCGCAGCCCAGCAGCCCCTCCCGGGCACGGGCAGGCTCCTCCCGAGGGCAGCTCGAACTCACGCTGCCCTCATCCCTCCAGAACAAACACGAACCCTCCCGCTCTGCCTGGCCTCCTCCTCTCCCAAGCGCTSGTGGTTTGGCCGGGCTGCGGCAAAKCGAGGAGCTCAGACAGCGGASACTCCGCTCCACAGCAGCAGACAGACCGCCTGCCATCCAAGCACATTCCCGGGGAGCCGGGGCCAAAGGAAAAGCAGGGAAAACAAATCGCAAAGATGAGTCGGGGCCRTCTCCCGACGGGCTGGAGCTGCTCCAGCCGTGCAGGAGTCGGCGCAGGAGAGCTGCTCGGCTGCTCTGGCTGCGCTTTCTCCCACTTAAGGTCCGTCTGGGTGACGGAAAATGAAACCCAAATGCCCTCTAACGGCATCGCACGAATGTGCACAGGGAACGCGCGTTCCGCCGCAAGAAGGGCAGCTGGAAGGAGCAGCGGTTTGGGTGACCTGTCCAGGTGAGAGATGGACTTCTTTAGATGTGTATTTCTGGAACTAAAAATAAAGCTGTGCTCATCCAGGTGTGGAGCTTGTCTGTGCAGGGTGAGCCCAGCCCTGCTGCTCATGGTGGGTGCAGGAAAGCCCTGGCACAGGGTGGGGCAGCTTGGAGACACCACAATYCAGGCTGCTTAGACTAAGAGAAGAAAAAAGAAAAAAAATGTCAATCAAAGCACTGAACATGTTATTACAGTTTAATATATCCTGGGTTAAACCCTTCACTTTTACCCCACTGTAAGATGTGCTGAWGGCCCCAGCCCTGGCTATAACAGTGTCCAGGTGTCCAGTGCTGGGATGTGGAGCAGAGCAGGGCAGGGCACAGCCCAGGCCATGCCTCTTCTCAGCTTCCCAAAAACCAACCCCCAAATATTCAACCCTGTAACTCATCYCTCTTCCTGCCAGGCCCCCACTTCCTCCAGTTCCCCTGGACTGGGATTTCCCCATCACCACCTGCTGACTGTTCTCCTGGCCCTGAGCACGTTTACCATGGCAGATTTGTGGTGAAGGGGCAAAAGACTCAATGTCAGAGGGAGCTCCCCTCTCCAGCCCAGGGAAAAGCCTCCCCAGCAGCAGCAGCAGCAGCAGCAAAGGCACTGCTCACCCACTGCCCCAGGCCCTGCAAGGGCTGAAAATAAAATGAAAGTCAAGGATGCTGTTCAGTCACCTCTTGGGGGTTAAAAAAAAAAAGGAAAAAAAAGAAAGAAACCTCACTGCTCTTGCAGTAAAACATTGCCTACAAAGAGAATTATTTACTGCAATCATCTGGTGCTCAGCCTGAATACAAATCATTGATTCTGTTTGATACGGGGCACACAGTGAATCTCCAGCAGGGAGCAAACTGCAGAACAGAATGAACAGCTCTGGTTGACTTTCTTAGCTCTCTGGTGGCCATGCCAAACAAGTGGTGACACACGGCTCATGCAGACTTCATGTTCCTCGATTGACATGGATGAAACATGTTGTGTGTACTGAAAATCTTGTTTTTGAGCCAGTTCTTCTTTGAGCACGTTGGGACTCAGCCACCAAGGCTGGGTGAGCTGCCAGGGTTTGTCACACGCTCCCAGATCCTGCCTAGCCTCCTCTGGGTGATGGTAAAAATCAAAAGGTCACCTTTTAGRCAGCAACCTGCAATTTTCATCTCAAACAAATGACTCAACACACCTCTGCTATAATTATCTTTTTTTTTTCCCTGCAGAATGTCTCCCTGATTCACTAAGCAGAAAACATCTAAATAATGAATTAATGATTCCAAATAAATCAGAGTTATTTTTCCCTATGAATGCAGGGAAATCAACTCCTGCAACTTGATTGCCAGTCTCACAATATTTGTCGCTCCCTCTAAAGCCCTGCTACCCTGGAAACGTGGTTATTTGAGGCTCTGACGCAGGGTCCTGGCTTTGCCTGCTCGTGTGGGGCAGCAGAGAAATATTCCACCCCATCCACAGGTAACCAGTAAAGATAAAAATCCCCAAACCAGAAGAAAATTCACTCCTGTCCTCAGGCACATCTGCACACMGACACAGCCTGGGATTTGCCAACCACACTCCTGAGCCAGCGATGAGCAGCAGATCCCAGCTCGTTCCTGTGCAAGCACACGCAGCAGCTGAAGGAAAGCTGTCCTACTGGATGAGTAAACAACATGCATCAGAATTTCTTTTCCAAGCTGTTCTCATGACCGATGGTTTCTAAATGCATGGGGTTGGGTGAGAGAGGGCTGGATGAGCCTCTCATTAAATCAAAACATTTTTAGAATCTGAGCACGGGGGTGCAGTGCTCAATTGAAAATAAAAAAACCCAACAAAGTAGATAATTTTTTTTATTATTTTTTTTCTGGAAGCCCATGACTCAGGTTATGTGTTTGCAGGGATTGTCTTGGCCCTGTGCTCTCACCCTGCCAGCAGCACTGCTGCTGCCTGCCAGGGCCAGGGGGGAACATCCTCAAGCAGGAWATTTGGGCAGAGCTGGCAGCAGCACCTGTGTTGTGAGTGAAACCATGGGTTAAGYGAGCACCTAAAATACACAGGAGGCAGGCACAAGAGAAAAGCTCTGTGATTGTGCCTCCCACAGGTCCAGGGAGCAGGAGATGTGGAGGGCACAGGGCTCCCCATGGCCTGCCCTGCTCCTCTCTTCCCATGGCAGGAGGCACCAGCTCCAAGCTTTCATTCTGGGGACAGGAAAAGCTTTGCCGTCACTGCTGAGAGCCGCTCATGACCCTTCCCATGATCACAGAAGTCCTCTCAGCCAGCTGCTGTCTCTGCTTCAGATTCCTCAAAGGTTGATGCTCTGGGACAAAGGGAACTTCTCCCTGTCTGTTCCTCTCCTCTCGCTGCCCTTCCACACCTCCATTAAGTTGCTCTGCAARTGCAAGGCCACACCCGAGCATCTTAAGCACACAGAGGTGAAGGGGGCAGGAGCAGGGCAGGATGGAGAATTGCCTCCCTGAGGTGTGTACCACCATGAACCCAGGAGTACAGCCCCACCAGGGCCTCTGCAAACCTCACAAAAGCCATATCCTCACCACATGTAAACAGCTTCTACGCCTCACCTCTCCAACACACCCATGGAGGTGAGATTTTACACACAGGCAGGAAATAACATACAGTTTCCCTCCTTTTATCTGCTCCAGCAAGCACATTGTGAAGTCAACAAACGCACTGGTACTCTCAACACTCAGCCACCTCCACCCAGCTGTATCTTAGGCTTCCCCACGCTGTCCCCGAGCTGCCGTGCCCAAGTGCGATCCAGCAGAGATGCTCAGCTGCTCCCAAGGAGGGATGGCTGGGCAGCACTCGCCCTCCCTCCTCCTCCCCGCTGCCTGCTCAGATGTCAGCCTCCTCCCACCCCCTGCCCAGCATCAATTCCCGGAAAGCAGGCGGCCGTGGCCCTTCCAGAACTTAGCCCTTCACCTCAAGCCGTTTTCCCAAGGTCGTTCTCCTTTGGTTTATCCGGGTAAACCTTCTCCCTGCTAATTGCTCCCCCGTTAACTCCCGCGCCTGCAGAGGGGAGTTATTTCTGGCCCGTTTGTGCTGCAGCAGCTGCTCAGCAGTGCAAAGRGGGCTGCCTTTCCTCGGGGGATGCTTGGGGGTCACTGGTTTTAGCTCTTACCCCAATTTCCAGTATCTGGGTGTCTCCTGCCTCGTGGTCCCTGTGACAGGAAAGGAAGGGCACAGCCACAGCTCCCGGCACGGGTCTGAACCGCTCGAAGGAGGAAGGGGGAGAGGGGTTTTGTGTTTGGGGATGGAGATAAAAGCAGGCAGCAGGAGCAGCTGTAGGAAGGAGGCAGCTCTTGAGCAGGGCTCATTCTGCCCACGCTGGGGCAGGCAGCTCGGCACCTCTCTGCCTGCTGGCACTGCCTGCGGCACCGCGATGGCAGCAGGAGCCCCAGGAACGCTGCCAGTCTCCCCATTAGCCTGCTCCCGGTATATTTGAGCGCTGGAGACAGGAAAAAGGCTGTCAGGAGTGGCAGTGAGGGCAGGCTTCCCGCCCCCGAATCTGGAGAACTGGGAGGTTTCTCCTCACCGCGAGTGGGACAGAACAGAAAGAGGCTGAAAGCTTTGGCTCCCCTCYTCAAACATCTCCCCCTCGCCCCGARGCTGAGCCCTCTGCCGCCTCCTGCTCCCTCCCGGCGCCCCGAGCACCCGGAATAGCCACGGGGCTGCGCGGAGCCGGCTCCGGGTGCCTCAACTGGGCTGGGGGAGGCGCCGAGGGAGTGGCGGAAGCCGCTGTGCAGAGGTTCTTTCGGTAAATCCTCCCCGTGCCCCGGGGAAAGTCCGGCAGCCGACCCGGGCCGGGCTCAGCGGCAGCGGAGCGGCGAGGGAGGGGATCCGCAGCCTGTGCCGGGGGACACCGGGCTGTCCCCGAGCAGTGCCACCCTCTCCGTCCCGGGCAGGGCTGTCCCCGATGGCTGCCGAGGCTGTCCCCACGCCGCCCGGCAATGTCAGCGGGCCGCTTTGCCCCGTGGATTCCGCCTTCGCCCAGCGCTTCCTGCCCACCGTGTACCTGACCGTGATCCCTCTGGGGCTGCTGGGCAACGCGCTGGGGCTGTGGCATCTCTGCACGGGGCGCCGGGAGGGTGCCCGCCAGCCCCTCAGCCTGCTGGTGGCCAACCTGGGGCTGGCTGACCTGCTCTATGTCAGCACGCTGCCTTTCCTCGTCAGCTACTACCTGCGAGGCAGAGAGTGGCTCTTCGGGCAGCCCTGGTGCCGCCTCACCCGCAGCCTCTTCCACCTCAACCTGTACGCCAGCATCGGCTTCCTGACGTGCATCAGCATCCACCGCTACCTGGGCATCGTGCACCCGCTGAAGGCGCGGGGTCGGTGCCAGGGCGCAGCATCCTCGGGCTGGCTCAGCGCCCTGGTCTGGCTCTGGGTCATGGCGCAGATAACTCCTGACCTGGCCTTCAGCAAGACGGATAAGAGAGGGGTGAAGTGCCACGACACGACGGGACAGGATGACCTGGGCACTTACGTGCCCTACACCCTCGCTGTCACCGTGACCGGCTTTGTCATCCCGTTCCTCATCATCATCGGCTGCTACTGCCACGTGGTGTTCGTGCTCTGCAGGAACGACAGCGTGGAGCCCGGCCTCAGGAGGAGAAGCATCGGGCTGGTGATTCTCGTCATGGTTCTCTTCTCCATCTGCTTCCTCCCCTACCACATCTTCAGAAACCTCAACTTGTTTTATCGTGGCTGGCAGGGSTCCTGCACCCGGGCTATAGGGAACGTCTACGTTTCCTACCAGGTGACTCGGGGCCTGGCCAGCCTCAACAGTGCCCTCAACCCCCTGCTCTATGTGATCACCAGCAGAGACTGGAGGTCACGAGTGAGGAGCATCCGCCAAAGCGCCAYGCAGTGTCTGAGGCCAACCTTCAGGAGCCAGGCAGGTGAGAAGGGGARCGTCATTCTTTGTAAAGGGGGGTCTTCTGATGAGCCCTGAGGTACCCAACTCCTGCTTCTGCCACATCAGCTTGTGCTTGGCCCTTCCCTGGGGACAGCCCCTGCCTTGACAGCTGTTCTGCAGGGATGGTGACAGCAGCATCACAGGCTCTGCACAAGGGACAGACAGGACTGTCAGCACTGGAGAGCAAACTGGGACCAGATTTTGACAGCAAAGCTATTAAACACAATCATTTATGCTACAATGTGCCTGGAGATGGAAACAGATGAACATCATGGAGATGTTCGCACCATCCAAAGAATTTCCCTCCAGCCTCCCGTGCAGTGACCTGAGCTGGTTCACATCCCCTTGCTTCCCAGCTCCTCTGTGACTGAAGGATGGAAGTGATGCCTTTTCCCTCTGCTGCATCCCCTCCACCCCACTGGACATGGATTTGACACAGGATTCCCTCTTTCACTACAGACAGGTCCTGCATTGCAGAACAGCTGAGAGGGTGAATTTTTGCAGGGGGGGAAGTGCTTTGGAAATTGAAGCATTCTTTAAAAAATGAGGTTTTAAGTACATGACTAAGCTGTGCCAATTCCTGGGTGACTGAGCTGTTTCAGGATCTGTAGGATCCTCTACTGCCCACCTCCTTTTCAGAATTAAAAATCATTTTTGGCCTTACTCACTCTCCTTTGGAAGAGCATACAGCAGACATGAACAAATGGGCATTTTAAAGTTTTTGGAGGCTGTTGGTTGGGGGTTTATTTTGGAAGGTGAATGACTGCAGTAGCCTGAACTCCTGCTTGCAGCAGGCAAATGCCARGAGAGCTTGCAGATCTTCAGGTGGGTGCTTGCTTTTTGCATCCAGCCTTGTGAAAGTATTAGACACGACTTATAAAAATTAGATGTGCAAAAAAAACCGAGAAGCAGTGCTGGCTTGAGGGCTTGTGAAGGCAGGATTTGGTGGTGAGGGCAGCTGCCTGTCATGGCCAGGGTTGAGGGATCTCTGCTTTGGGGTGAGCAGAGCCTCCCAAGCAGTATTTTGGTTTTTTATGCTTTTGGTGTTTACCCACCATGAACAGCTCGAACATTTCAATTCAATAATGTCATTTGCAGCAGCTTTTGCAGCCCAGCTGAAGGAAGTAGGTCATGAGTTAAAATCAGGTCCTTCTGGGAAAGCACTGGCCCACAGATGGACACTGTGCTCTTTTCCTGACATTTATCTGTCAGCTGTTCCTCGCACTGACCCACCTTGGCTGGGCAGCGGAGGGAGCACAGCTGSCTTTCAGCGCTGTTCATGTCTACAGTGCAAATAAACACCTCGTGCTTTCAGTTTTGAGTCGTCTGGCTTCTTTCAGAGCTTYGCAGGCACCTGTGAGCCAGCTGGCCTGCGGGCTGGAGCAGGACCTGCCTGCTCAGGGAGGGTGATCGGAGCTTCCCAGGGCTCTGCAGGCAGGGAACTGCTGGGACACTGCAGGCAGCTGGTGGAGGGTGATCTGTGAAAATCACACAATGAGAAATCTGCCCAGCACCAGCCAGGGATCCAGCAGAGCCTGAAACATCCAGCTCCCACCTCATCCAGAGGAAACCCAAAGATAAAGCTTAAATTCACCTTGTCTCACTCTAGCAGGAAGATTGAGACAGTAGGATCAGATCTGGTCTCTGCTCCTTGCCCACATGCCCCAGGTCTGCGCTTCTCCAGAACTCTGAACTCTTCTCCTCATTCCTCAAAAACCCTCCACGCCTCTGAAAGCTGTCCAGGTCTTCCATCCTCACACATGGATCCTCTCTAAGATGCCACAGCTCCCCACAGGACCARTTTTGGCTCCCACAGCCCATGGGAGCTGCACACCCTGTCACTGCACCCACTTTGGGCATGATTGAAGTGGAGCATCACCACGTGCTGGGGAGGGAGCTCTGTGTGGGCAGTGCCAGCAAACTCTGCTCTCACCCCTGCATCCCTGTGCCCAGATATGTCTTCTTGTGTTCCCCAGTGCCCCCTCCCATCACTGTTAATGATGATTTAAAGATCTGTGTCCAGAGAAGCATCTCTAAGTCCCAGGGACAGTTGCAGACATAAACCTGCACGTTTTTCTGTGTCCTGCATCAGTCAAATCAGCAAAAGCCAATAAGAATCTGTGTGGTGGACTGATGGCTCAGATATTTGGGGTGGGATTTTTAATTCTTTTATTTAAAGTCTTGCCTTGCAGTCCCCTTGATTCTCAGGCAGTGCTGCTTCCCGCTGTGAYTGGGGGCAGTGACCTCTTTCCCTTTATCAGGCGTGTGTGTAATTCAGGCTGAGCCACTGGCACAAGAGCCTCTTCACAGCTGCTGATGGGGCCACAAAACCGCCCTCCTTCCTGCAGCCTTCCTTCCTTCATCCCTCCTTCCTGCCAGGGAGGTTCCTTCCCTGCCAAAGAGCAGCCCCTGCTCTCGTGGGACACTGCAGGGATTCTGCTCAGAACGGGTGGGCACTGCTCACCCCTCAGAACCTCCCGGGGCTCTTTATTCCCTGGGACCAGAGGGTGGGATTGTCCCTGGAGCCCCCAGCGTGAGCAGCTCCTGGTCTGTCCCAGTTCCCACCTGTGGCGTGGGAAGGACTTTTGGGAGTGGGTAAAGGGACAGGGAAGGTGSGGAGCTGTCAGAATCCCCCCTCCCCTCCTCCCAACGCTCTGCCCGACATTGGCAGTGCCAAAACAAACATTTGCTGCTGCCAGGAGGGGGCCAGTGCCACCAGAGCTGCTGTGCCATGGTTACCTCCTGAATCWTCACCTCATTTGGGCTCCTGGCTTACGATGAGCTGAACATTCCTCGTTCCCTCCCTTGGCTATGTGATGCCAGATTTTTAAGATGCCCAAGAGCAGGGGAGAGGAATCCCACCTGCACTCTCTGCTTTTCCCACAGCCTCTCTGGTACAGCAGCGTGGAGCAATGATCTTGTCTGCAAAATCAAGCTGAAAGCARACTTTTAACTCCTTTACCCAAATTAGACCCAACCGATGAATCAAACACRGTGGGAATTCTCCTCCTGACACTAATGGGATCAGGATCAAGCCTGAAAATTTGGCAGCATTTCTTGCTTCATTAAATAAACCGCTCTTGGTTGAGGATATGTTGCAAACACAGTCAAGATTTGTTATGTTACAGAGAACTTTTGAGMTGACAGCCCAGGGAAGCCAGTCAGGCAGAAATAACAGGCACTCGTACAGATGCACAGATGTACAACCACYTTCTTCCTCCAAAATGCAGAACTGTTCTTCCTGGCATGCAAAACATCCTAGAAGAAGAAAATATTGCTATCAGCAACATCTAAATGCACAGAACTCGACTCTGATGAATTCTTTATTTCATTTTGCACACGTGAGCTAAAATCTGGCTCTGAGTCATTTCAGGGTTTCTGGTATGGCTGATGGAACCCTGATTGCTGAGCAAGTGTGGGTTGGGTGCTGAGAGCATGGGCTCGTGCCTTTGTGTCAGAGATTTCCACACAAGGGCTGGGGGTGCCAGGGACATCTCTGTGGGCCTGAGATGGTGCACGGGGTCCCTTTTGGGCAGACARGACATGGCCATAATGTAAGAGCCGCCAGGGCCAGGTGGGGTGTGAAGAACACGTGTGAAGGTGGAGGAGAAGCAGCGAGAGCAGGATTTGGCTCCCCGTTACTCCAGGCACCCAACAGCAGGGCTTTGTGGAGCATCTTTCACAGCGTGGTGGGAGGCTGCAGCGTGCACACRAAACGGAATGAGTCACTCAGGTCACTAATGAAAGGTCACAGCATCCTCAGGTTCGGTGAGAGGCACTTATTTCTTCAGTAAAACAATTTCATTGCTGAAGTACCTTTGGCTGCAGCGACAACGGAGCTGACAGGTTATCTTATTTACCAAGGATATTGATCAGAATAGTAGATGCAATTATCCAGGTGAAGTGGGAAAAAATGGTAAATATACCTGCCACCGGGGGSCCGTTGGTGAAGATTTTAATAAAAGAGAAAAATCGGAGTCTTTGTCTGTACTACGTGAGTGTTTTGGCATCCGAGGGACCAACAGCTTGTGCAGAAGAGCGAATCACAGAAATAGAACACCACTTAGCGTGCCTGTGTGAAGCCATCAGTCTAATAGTACTCCTGCAGCTCATGCGGTTATAAATAGGTGATGCCGTGCGGGAGCCGGGGAGCCGCTCCCAGCCCTGCGCGCATTTGTATGTGCGCTACAGAGCGACTGCGGCTGCACCCTGCGGCCACGGATTTGTCCTGGAGCACTCGGCTTTAAAGAGTGGTGCCATTTTTCACATCAGTCCTCTAAATATTCCCCCGCGGCAAGCGCTGCTTGCCCCGGATCGCTGCTCAARGCAGGCGGCAGCRCAGGAGAGGGGCAGYGAGAAACCCSCGGGAGATGCTCAGTGCACCACGAYCTGCGCTGCCTCCTCAGCATCCTRGGAGGAAGCCATCAYTTGAATTTTGCCCAGCACCTCCTCTCTGTCATGAGCAGGAGACACTCAGGTGTAATCTGGCTCCCTGAAGAGCCCTTCGTGCYAACGCGCAGCCCAGCCAGCGTGAAATTCTTCTGCTTGTTTGGGCTTATGGGCAAAAAGTTTACCCTAAGGAGCATCAGAGAGCTCCCAGGCTTCCCAGAGGCACCACAGCTCCTCCTTGGAGAGGCTCCTTCCATGCTGTGCTGAGGACATCCAGGGACAGGAGGCAGATTAACTCTGTCCTGGCTGTCTTTGCTCGGCTGTGGAGGTGAGGACAACCCCCCACCACCGCTCCCAGCCTGCCCTTGCCAGCCCAGCCCTCCCCCAGCACTGCTGTGTCTCCAGTCCAGGCAGTGGGGCACAGTCCCCTGGCAATGGGAAGCTGCTGGCACAGAGCAGAGCTCGGGGTAGGTTCTGTGGTGGTGATGCCAAGTGCCCAGGCATTCTCACTGAATGAAGTGTGGGTTGGTTTTGGAGACAAAAATCCCCCTTTAGAAGTGTGTCATGCTGGCCACACAGTGCCAYGCTGAGAGTCCAGAGGAGATGGGGATGCAGCTCATCCAGGAGCCTGGGGCTGCCCAAGAAYCCAGCAAGTCTGCAATACACATCATGAGATGCTGCAGCATCCTCAGATCTGTTAGAGAAAAKAATCTTTCTGWGTGCAAAGCTCARACAACAGATCCATCCCTGCAGCCASCATCCCGCTGCACTGAGCTGGGATGTGGGAAAAGCTCTGGCAGGGTGACCCAGGAACCAGCAGCACAGGGGGCACAGGGAGGGAGAGGGACTTTGTGAGATGAAATATTATTTTCCTTTCCAGGGGCACGGAGGAGCAGAGGGTGGCTCCACATCCCTTCCCACAGGCACAGCACAGGGAGGARTGCTGGCCTTGCAGCCACMCCTGCAAATCCCAGCCTGGGGGAAGGTCTCATCTGCCTCCATAAAGGGGGCTGTTCAGACCTGGGTCCCAAGCCAGAAACCCCAAAATGGCCATACCTGACTCTGTGCCTAGTCCTGTGTGATGCTCAAAGGATACCTGGATGAGCATCACCTCCTGTCACTGCTCCCACCTCAAGAGACTCTCAAACAAGGGACCTAAAAGTTGGTTAAATATTYCAGAACACAGAGAAGCCTCTGGTTTATTTTCCCCCTTTACCTCACGTTGTTTTCCTGCCTCCACAAAAGCCTACTGTTAATTTAATTCCCTCTAACTGATTCATGGCAGATCTGGCGTCCCAATGCCCAGAACAGCTGTGATTCCTGTGCCACCGTTTGCTGTGCCCCAGGGACACCACACAGCCCCTGAGCATGGCTGGAAAGACTGGGCCAGGGCTGGAGCAGGGGATAACAGCTGGGCCAAGCACACAGGGAAATATTTACATTTRTAATTCAGAGAGTGGATATGTTTCATCTCCCCAATTAGTCCTTCCAGAAATAAAGCAACTGAAAACCCTCTGCATATAAACAAGACTTAGTAAAATCTGCAATTTTAAGGTGGAGGAGTAAATAAGTCCCCAACACGGCGCTTACACTGCAAGAGAAAACAAGGATTTCACTTTGTTCTGTTCGTTCCCCTCTAGGAACCTGCTGTGCTCGCAGGCACGGGAACATTTTCACAGGGCATTTACAGCTCCCTTGGCTGGGAAATTGCGTGTGGCCCCAAAGCCAGAGCCGTTCTGGCCAGTGGAGTGTGGGACCAGCCCTGGAGCATCGCTAACAGGGGAAGGAAAACACATCTTGGAGGAATCAAACCCTGCACTGAAATAAGTCGGTGCCTGGCCGGGAAGCTCAATCAACCTCTCAGCGGCGGTTCTTCAGAGGAAAACAGGAAAGRACATCTTGAGTTTTACCGATAAATGCTCTTTCCCCCAGCTGAAGTCCTGGGGCCGATTTGTTTCCT